GAGACTAACCCGGAACTGGAGTTCAGAGCAGTCAGCAGCTTGAGATGCCTCCCGATTGAAAAAGACAACCGTGTCCTCAATGCCAGCCCTTGCCGTGTGTGCCTCCGTACCTCTGCACTTTACTTCTGCAGCTCCTCTGAGTCTGATTTTCTCTTTCCTTCTAGTTGTAGAATTTCCACTCAGCCAGCCTTTCTGTAGTTCTGGATGATGTCCGTTTTGTCTTTTAGTTGTATTTTTGAAGTTGTTGTGGGAGGCAGCAATTTCCGGTGTTTACCTATGCCACCATCTTGGTTTTTTCTAATTTTCTATTGTCATGTCTTTATCTGGTTTTGGAATTCAGATAATGCTAATTTGGTAAAATGAGCTTGGAAGTTTTCCCTCCTTTTTAATTTTTTGGAACACTTCAAGAAGGATAGATGTTAGTTCTTTGGATGTTTGGTGAAATTCATCTGTGAAGCCATCCAGTTCAGGACTTTTATTTGTTGGGAGGTTTTTTTGTTGTTGGTTGTTTTTTTACTGCTTCAATTTTACTGTTTGTAATATGTCTATTTAGATTCTCTGATTCTTCCTGATTCAGTTTTGGAGGATTGTATGTTTCTAGGAATTTATTGATTTCTTCCAGATTGTCTGGTTTGCTAGCATATAGTTGTTTGTCATTTTCTTTCTTTCTTTTTTTCTTTTTTTTTGGTTAATCCTTACCCAAGGATATTTTCCCATTGTTTTTTTTAGAGGGAGTGGAAGGGAGGAGTGGGGGGTGGAGGAGGGAGAGACATCGATGTGAGAGAGACACATTGATCGGTTGCCTCCCGCACGCATCTTGATCGGGGCCAGTGGTCAAACCTGGACCAGGTACATGCCCTTGACCGGGAATTGAATCCACAACCTTTCAGTGTGCAGGCCAATACTAACCACTGAACTACACCTTGTAGGTAATTACCTGCTTTTCTCTTGATGCTTTTAACACATTGCATACCACATAGCAATCTCTGAGACATATGCCAGGGACCGCACGTTTTTGGGCAAACTGCATGTTATTTAAATCATCATAATGCACTTTAGGTGTTGTTTTTCAATAATTATGACATTTTTATTTACAAAAACAATTAAACAATTAAAGTTCCTAGTATTTTTTAAACGTATGGTACTGCATAAAACATTTTCCTCTATGAAGAGGGCCCAAACAAAATTTATATAAGTATCTAGATTCGCTCCTTTTTCCATGGGCGCGAAACACGAGAAAACTCCTGAGCAGTACAAAATGTGTTAAGATTCTGTCTTCAATCTTTTGGGATTTTAATTATGACAAGAGGCCCGGTGAACGAAATTCGTGCATAGGTAGGGTCCCTAGGCCTGGCCTGCGATCAGGGCTGATCAGATTTCCCACTTCCCCGCCTCCTTCCCTTGCTACCCACTCGCCATCAGTGCGTGTGTTCCCCCTCCCCCCCCCACCGCCTTCCCCTTCCTCAGCGCCCTGCTGCTGCCACTGTTGGCCCACCATGTTCCATGCCACTCCCTGGTGATCAGCACACATCATAGTGATCGAACTCCTGGTCGAACTTCCAAAGGGACACTTTGCATATTAGCTTTTTATATATATAGATGTGTCTTGATGTGGGTCTCTTTTGGTTCATCTTGTTTGAGACTCCCTGCGCTTCCTGGATTGTGTGTCTTTTTCCTTCACCAGGTTAGGAAAATTTTCAGTCATTATTTCTTGAAATAGATTCTTGATTCCTTGCTCTCTGTCTCTTCTCCTTCTGGTACTCCTGTGATGTGCATGTTGTTCCATTTCATGTCCCAAAATTCCCTTAAACTATCCTAGTTCTTTTTCATTTTTTCTTCACCCTATTCTGACTTTTTTTCTACGTTGTTTTTCAAATCTGATTCAGTCCTTTGCTTTTTCCATCCTACTTTTTATTCCTTCTGTGTATTCTTTGAATATTTGTGTGATATGGTATTTTTCATTTCTGACTGGTTCTTTTTCATAGTTTCTGTGTCCCTTTTCATGCTGGTGTAGTTCTTACTGAGTTCCTTAAGCATCCTTATTAGCATTACTTTGAACTCTATATCTGCTAAATTTTTTACCTCCATTTCATTTAGCTCTTTGTCTGGTGATTTCTTCTGTTCTTTCATTTGGGGCCTGTTGTTTTTTTTTTTTGTCTCCCATTGTGGTTGTCTCGTTGTATATGTTTCTGTGTATTAGGTAGAATTTCTATGACTCCCAGTCTTTGTGGGGTGGCCTAATGTAGTAGGTGTCCTGTGGGACCAGTGGAATAGTCTCCTTGATCCCCTGAGCTGGGTGCTCTAGGAATGTCCTTTGTGTGGATTATATGGGCCTTCCTGTTGTAATTGGGTCTTGATTGTTGTTGACCCATTTGTTGGTGGGATCAATCCTCAGGCTGGCTGACTGTGAGGCTCAACCCTGACCATGGCATGCAAGCTGCTGTACAGGTGCCATTTCACTGGAATTTTACATGAATCTCCTCAGAGCTGCGCCTCCTGAGACTCTGTCTGAATGGTTTCTGGTTAAACATTTGAGTATGAAGACTTCATATATGATGCTGTTTACTTCAAACTCAGCTTCACTATTTGTAATTTTAAATGTCATCTTTTTTGTAAAGGAACATTTCCCCTTTGCAAGGAGCAGGCAGTCTGGGAGGTACTTGCACATCCTGCAAATGCCCTGCTCCTCATCAGGCTTCTCCCTACTGGCATTTACACCAATGATAATTCATATTGGAGGAAATTATTTCATTGCCATTTACAACATGGCGATTTTATAATTCTTTCATACCTTGTACATTCGTTAGCTGCAACTCTATAAAGTAGGGTAAAGCTTACTTCTTTTGATTACTATGGTCTTGTGATTTTAACTGTAGACCCCCCACACACACACACACATTTTTAAAGTGAGAAGTTAGTTTTATAGTCTTCCCCAATGGTGTGGCAAGTGACTTTTCGCTCCTCTATTTATTTTTAATATACTGTGAACTCATACATTGTACTCAGGGTCCTAAAATAATTGATTTTCATTACTCTTTTTGATACATTGTCTCAAATTTTGCCAGTAGGAGTCCCTTCAGGCTGGCTCCAGTGCCTTTTTGGCATGCTCCCACTATTTCTTAATCACTAACTTGGTTTTACTGCTCTGGCCTTGGTAGCAGTCATCTCTCTAAAGAGCTCTGGTTCCTTTTAGTGGGTCTCATGGACTTTTATTTTCATTAGCAGCTTTATTGGATATAAGTTATGTACCAAAAATTCACCGATTTACCCAGAGGCTTTTTAACTTGAACATTTTTGGTGGTTAAAAACTAATTTTTTTGTGAAGTCTAATGGAGTCACTGTACCCACAAACTGGGGAATCATTTGTCTGCCTTGGGATTTTCTCTAAAAATAGTATTGTCACCTGCTATTTCCTGGAAAAGGCCAGGGGTATTTTGTATAACAGGCATGTACGATCCAGTTCTCCCTTTGGTGCTCTTGGTAATGTTTGCTTGTTTTCATTTCTATTTTCCCTGTCCTGTTTTGTTTTTGTTGTTATTTTTACCTACTAAGGAACTGAAGTGGGTCTTTGCATTCCTTCCACCAGCACCCTTTAACTTGAACCAGATAAATCCTAGCAGTTTCAGAAAGAAGCAGGAGGGAAAAGGAAGAGCGCAAAAGAAATAATCAGCTCCTGGATGCTGCTGTCTCTGCTCTCATTGCCTTTACACTTCCTTCCCAGGACTCAAACCGTCCTGGCTTGCATTCATTTCCTCAAGCACACCAAGCATCCCCCTCTAGGAAGGTCTCTGCCCCTATGCTTATGTGCCACCACACTGCCTCCACTCCCCACCACAAGGCAGGCTGTTATTGCAGCTTAAATGACACCCTTTCAGTAGATCTCCCATGACCCTTGAACCTTGACCCTCTACACACCTCTGATTCTCCAACAAGACACCTGTCCATTTCCTTCTTAGCCTTCCTCACAAGACTGTGATCCTGTGTGTTCTACCCCTCATTGGCCCTCCTTTGAAAATACACTTTTAGTGATAGAACTTAGAGGGATTTGGCAAAGGTTAGAAGCATTTCCAGATGGGAAATATTCTTGCAGTCATTTTGTGTGGTGGGGAGAAAGAAGCTGGTTCTGTCTTTAGGTAGGCATTTGACCTTTGTACCACAGTAGGCTCTCAGAGCTTCGATTCAGGAGTATTGCCATGTGTATGCAACCTCAGAGATCTAAAAACAGGACAAAGACTGAATTTTGAATTATTTTCTCTTCGCTATCTCAGTGTGTAGGATCTCTTTTCACCGTCAGGGTTGAGACAAATGGAGGGTTGACACATTAATCATAAAAATGACATCTTCTGTAAACATTTTTTAAAATATATATTTATTGATTTCAGAGAGAAAGGGAGGAGAGATAGAAACAACAATGATGAGAGAGAATCGTTGATCGGCTGCCTTCTGCGCGCCCCCTACTGGGGGAATCGAACCCACAACCCGGGCATGTGCCCTTGACAGGAATCAAACTCAGGACCCTTGAGCCTGCAGGCCGATGTTCTATCCACTGAGCCAAACTGGCTAGGGCTTTTCTGTAAACATTTTAAATCCAAACATAAATCATTGGCTAAATGACTCTTTCTTTTAGGACGGCTCTTCTGGGGGAGTTTACCATTAAGGTTCTTGCAAAACCTAACTTTGGCTTCTTTTAAAGTGGAGCAAGGGCTATTGTAAGGTCATTTAAATGCCAAACCTTTCTAGATTTTTAAGATTTCTTTCTCCAAACATATATTGGTCTCACCCATACATAATTATTCACCAGCAATAGATCAATAGATACAGATTTTTTTTAATCCTCACCTGAGGATATGTTTAGAGAGAGGAAGGGAGAGAGACATCTGCGAGAGAGAAACATCAATCTGTTGCCTCCCTTATATATGCCTCCCTTATGCACACTGACTGGGAATCGAAGCCATAACTTTTTGGTGTATGGGATGATGCTCCATCCAACTGAGCCACCCAGCCAGGGGACCAGCAGTATTTTCTAGTGACTTGTGTTTATTGAGTCTTTCCAAAGAATCATCCAGGGCCACTCTTTTTCTATTCACACTCATATATCATTTGTTCGTATACTATTTAATTATGTTATTAATACTCAGTAAATAAAATTTCCATAAATAGATTTGGGAATAAACATCGCTGACGAACACTTGGTAAGCATCGAACTCGTATGGGAAAGGAGTGAGGCTGCACTGGAGACTGGGGCAGGAATGAGTCTCCACCAGGGCTGGGGCTGTACAGGCTGTGGTTCTTTTTTTCTTTTTTTTTTT